ATGTGAAAGATGGATCCCATGTCAAGCTTCGACATCCGTCTTGTTTTTACATTACCGCCCAGAGACAGTACATTGCAGTACAAAAGATGCGTACGCCTCTGAAATAACTTTCCTTGCATTATAACCTTGCATCATGATTTCGAACCTAAACAGGTCATTGTGTACACATGAGACGTAAAAATTGCAACAATAAAAAATATACTTTTTAGTTTTTTTTACAAGAAATTACAACGGATTCAGGATTATCTAGATATATAAATAGATTCTATATAACGACCATTTATCAAAGATCCTACTCCTCTGGTTCTTCATAATAAATTTCAGCAGTTTTCACGTAAATGACCCGTGTTCCGTCGGTTTTTAGACTTTGACACTCTCAAAAATTCTTAAGCGGCCGAGCATTATTTGACAATTTAATAAGTGGTTTATGGTATAAATTCAATACTGCTGAGCCCCCCCTGTGGGGGGGGGGAGGGGTGCAAGATTCCAAAAACAGAAAGATAATGTAATTATAGGTGGCATAAACAAATCCCGTGATTTTGATAAATACATAAGGTTAAATATCTAGAGAAGAATGGCTAAAAATAAATTCATAGAATACAACTGACGTCCAAATTTTTTTATTTTTTATCTTTTCATCATGTGCGTAAATGGTTTTATTAAATTTATCCAATCTCTTTCTTTTTATTATTTCTTAATTATATTTAAGGGGAAATTTAACTTTCCGTTAATTATAAGCGCCATACAATGGAAAAAGAATGCGACGTTAGACGTACGTTTAGCTTTAGTTTTTAAGAAGTAATTGGCAAAATTCTCTTGAGATCTTGAGACCTTTAAATCACAGTTAAATCACAGTTAAAACAAGTTATGATTCTAAATAGTAACATAAACAAAGCAATTTTTTCTGTGTACAGTACGTTTCACAGACCCATTTCAGTTAATTTGTCAAGCTACTTCCTGGTAAAGTATTGGCTTTATAACAATATCAAATACCCTTGAAATTGCTAAAATGTCGTCTTCCTATTGAACAGATTTATTGTCCTACTGTAACTAGAATGGGTTGATAAATACTGTTAAATATAACCTGAAATATTTGATAAAAGTTTGTTTCTTGAATTACATCATCAGATCGGAATATTTCTATCTCCTCCTCCTCCAAACGACCAATCATTTCAAGATCAACCTATGAAATTGATTTATTACAAGCAAAAAACATTTCAATGACTTTTAATCTTACACGATTAATAATAAAAAATAAGGACGAAAAGTCACAGAGAAATAATGCAAAAATAATGAAAAATTGCTTTCACTGTGATCTTGCCAAGTTTATACATTTGTTGCAAAAACGTGCTGGGTCGACTCTACACTGGGCAGCCAGACTGGTCAGTACGAATAAATGCATATACAGCACGTGTTGTACCGGCACGGATCAAGCACATTTTAGACTAGGGTGCTTTGCAATTTCAGAACAAAGGACCAGTTTGAAATTAGTTGAATGAGTTAAGTTTTGTCTATATTTTACCCAATACATATAAGGGGATTTAACCTTTTATTCACAAACACTTCTTTAGGATACTAGGAGAACTATATTCATCCTTCACAATGGACTCCAGGGGTGTATAAGGTTCAGGATATTGTTTAATGGGTCTATATTCTTCCTTCACAATCAACTTCAAGTGGACTCCAGGGGTGTATAAGGTTCAGGATATTGTTTAATGGGTCTATATCCATCCTTCACAATGAACTTTCAGTGGACTCCAGGGGTGTAATAGGTTCAGGATATTGTTTAATGGATCTATATCCACTCCTTACAATATACTTACAATAGACTCCAGGGGTGTATAAGGTTCAGGATATTGTTTAATAGATCTATATTCATCCTTCACAATGAACTTCCAGTGGACTCCTGGGGTGTATAAGGTTCAGGATATTGTTTAATAGATCTATATTCATCCTTCACAATGAACTTCCAGTGGACTCCTGGGGTGTATAAGGTTCAGGATATTGTTTAATAGATCTATATTCATCCTTCACAATGAACTTCCAGTGGACTCCTGGGGTGTATAAGGTTCANATAGATTATCAAGTACAATAGGTGGCAACAGTGAAATTGATCAATTATACACGATGTCACAAGTGTCAAATATAACAAGAAAAACTAAATTTTCTCATATTAGTTGACATGTTTTCCAAGATTAAATAAAAATGTAATAACAGAAAATAAAGAACACATAGAATTGCACTTATTTTATTGTAAAATAAGCACTTTATTCTAAGATTATCACTTTTATTAATAATTTTGTCGGACAATAAAACTAAGTTGTCACATGTGACGTAAGAATACAACTGTACTGAGAGTGTACAAATTCTATGTTGCCATCTATTGTACCATAATCTATTTGGTTTTTACTGTTATTGTAAAAGATAAAGATAAAAAAAAGAAGATCAACATTTAACTCAGGATTGAAATGATGTTGAAAGTGATGCACAAAAATATATATTAAAGGGACAGTAAACGTCATTTTATGTGACCTTCCAATTTTAGACTGGCATGTCTGATTCACAACGGTACACATGAAGCTTTGTCTGATCAAAATTGAATGAGATAATGATGTTTTTTTTTGAAAGTTTTGAAATTTAAATTTTTGGTTTTTCTGTAAAATTGACTGGCGAATATATCCACTATAAGCAATTGGATAGTTGGAAAGATTTATCAATTTTTAATCTAGTAATAAGACAATTTCTTTCACATTATATGTTCACCTTAGTTTTGAATAATCTATGATTGGTCCAGCTAGATTACAAACCAACATTTTACTATCTTCTAGTTCCTAGATATAAAACAGCTAGATTACAAACCAACTACTATCTTCTAGTTCCTAGATATACAACAGCTAGATTACAAACCTACAGTTTACTATCTTCTAGTTTTTAGATATACAACAGCTAGATTACAAACTAACAGTTTACTATCTTCTAGTTCCTAGATATACAACAGCTAGATTACAAACCAACAGTTTACTATCTTCTAGTTCCTAGATATACAACAGCTAGATTACAAACCAACAGTTTACTATCTTCTAGTTCATAGATATACAACAGCTAGATTACAAACCTACAGTTTACTATCTTCTAGTTTCTAGATATACAACAGCTAGATTACAAACTAACAGTTTACTATCTACTAGTTCCTAGATAAACAACAGCTAGATTACAAACCAACAGTTTACTATCTTCTAGTTCCTATAGACACAGGGTGAGTCAACATAGTGTGATTAGTGGCATCTGGTGCAAAATTGTACCTTTTTGTGCAACTCTCCTGTATGGTGTTTTTTCAACATTTATTTTGAAAAATTAAAATTTTTTTAGTATTCCAATGGCCCCAAAAAAAATCCGTGAACCTTTTTTCTCTCAAAATCAAAAGTTCAGAAAAGCAAAAATGTGTAAATAAATTATTTCAATAGAAATCTAAAATTTTATAAAATTGAATCGCAGAATTACAGAAAATTCGCAAAATTTTAATGAAAAAAATTCCAATTTTCAGTTCTAGCCTAATTTTTAATGAAAAGTTATTTTTTGATGACTCTTCACGTTTCAGCTGGACAGCGTATATTTAAAACTCTAGAATATACTAATAAGAAAGGAACTAGAGAATTTAATTTAATTTTCCTTAAAAATTAGACCAGAACTGAAAATTGCAAATTTTCTTTTACAATCTTGCGAATTTTCTGTGATTCTGTGATTCAATCAAAGCTAGATTACAAACCAACAGTTTACAAAGTAATAAAAATATTACAAAAATTCAATAATCAATAACATATCACATTGTTAAACACATTTATCGTTATGTTACATATTACACGATAATCAACTATCAACATATTTCTTACACAATTTAGAATTTATTAAATTGTAATCTACACACAATTATCAATATAGAACCATATTTCTAGTACAATAATCAAGAACATATCACATTGTTACCCACAATTATCAAAATGTTCCTAATTCCTAACAATGGACATATTACCTTTAAGCTACAACTGCTGATATCTCTAATTAGCTCCAATGATTTAGGAAACCTGATATTTAATCTAGGTCTATAGGCCGGCTCACCACTCTCATGGTTTATCTAACATTACAAAAGTATGAGTAAAAGAATATTTTTGTGTATTTATATAAACAACATTTTTTGTGACGAGCTAAGTATTGTGAGACATTTTAAACAATCTGCTCTCAATTCATTTTTTCTCGTAATTTAAAATTAAGCTTTGGGTCCAGAGACCGAATTTAAAGAATTTGAGCCGCTGCTTAAATTTAATCCGCGGCTCAAATATGGTTGGTTCCACTTAAAATAGTATTCATTGTTTTAAGATTTAATCCGGCGCTCAATTGAAACCATTTTTTGGCGGATTGAAGACGTGGCTCAAATTCATTAAATTCGGACAATGATCGTCCTGACGAACAAAATGTTGGAGAGTTTTTCTTACATTTTGTTTGATAGAAAACTTTTGAAAATTATAGATTACAAGAAAGTAACTACATTTTTAAAACATATACTAAGCAGCCGAAGTTTTAATTTCATCCCACATATATTTGTTCTGTCCTTTATAATTCTAAAGGATTGTACTTTAATAACTGCTTTTAAAATGTGTCCATGTGAAAAAGGTCTAAACTAAAATCTTACCATTATTTCTAGTGTCAGCCTCCCGTATTTACCAATAATAAAACCTTCAGCTTCATTTTCTAAAATATCGAATTTTATTTTAAATTTTTTTGTGTGAACTTTTCGCTACTTTAGCTATGCTCCGAAAAGTTTCGTCCGTTTCGTCCAACATGACGAGTCGGGATACCTTAATCTTATACAGTTCAACCCGGAACTTCGGAGTAATCGCAAGAACTTATAAAATGTCGTCATGACAATTTTTCAATGGGTTTTTTACAATTAGATCTAAATCTTAGTAATTGTAAAAGTAAATAAATAGCCATAAAATATGAAAGAACAGTTTTAAATAGCTCAATTAAAAAACTAAATATTTGCAGCATTTCGACCCAAAAACGATGTATCGAAGTGATGATCGTTTTTGAATCATTTTTGGATCTTTTTTGGATCGTTTCTCGTTTAGGATAAAGATTTTACAAAGTTTATATAAGCAAACTTGTACATAATACAGTTTAGAAATCTTGGAAGTTTTTTTTAAACGATCCAAAAAGATGTTCTAAACTTCCCGCATTACCTAGAACAGAAGCAAAGAGAGAAAGATCATATCTACACTTAGGTTCCTTGCAATTCTTCTGAAACGGGATTTCTTCTGTAAACTCCTGTCTACCATTAACAACTCAACTTTTTAGAAAAAAATCTTATACCTTTGCAATCAAAGTTAAAAATCATCATCATCATCATCATCATCATCATCATCATCATCATCATCATCATCATCCGTCTTCCATCATCCATCATCCGTCATCATTCATATTGTTTATTATGTTGTATTGAATGAGACCTGAGTAAGAGTTAATGTTACTCTAGATGGAGAATTAGCTGAGAATTGGTTTGCAGCTTTCATTTCATAAGTTTGGCATCTTCTTTCAGAAAGTCTTGTCTCAAAAACCATCTGAAAAGTGTGAATTTAACTGCCATAGATGATTGACACTTCTAGATTCCGAAACCACGGTAAACTATAGAGGTTCCCCAATCCAATTTTCAGCCACCCGTTAAATGTAGATTTTTCGTATTTAATTTTTTAAATTTATTTTTAGCTGGACAATTTATTTTCAAATTCTAATGTAGTCTTTTCAGGGGGCAGAAACGTCATGTGTGTGTGTCTGTACCAAAAGAGTGTGTGTAAAATTTACCGTACCGAGGGTGTGTACTGTATGGTATACAGTACATACGAATCTCGGTATTTGTACAGTCTAGGAGAGTACATTTGTTTATTGTTAATTGTTTACTTAAAAATAAGTTTAATATACATGTAGCATATTATTTAAATATATAAGTCAACACTATAAGCCAGATTTTAATGCAAAGAATATAACTTGATTAAGTTTACAACAAATATAGTCGTTATTCAAGCTTAATTATAATTGACAACATTGCTCTGCAATTTCCTTGACTGTAATCATGTTGTGTGTCTGTACCAAAAAAATAAAGTTTACAGTACTGGTCTGCAAAGTATAGTGCGACTGGCTTTCTCATGCCGGACCAGCGCCATTTCCTTTCCGGCCCTTTATTCCTATTCCCTGAGTCTTTTGCGCTATTTTTGACGGCTTTTATATGGGAGAATAAAATAAATTTAAAAAGATTTATTTTATTCTTTTATTTTATTATTTTATTATTTTATTACCTCAGATTCTCCGGCTCTGAAGAGAATATTTGAGTTTGAGGTTAGATTAATTTTTGTTAGAATATCACTGGTGTAGTGCTCAGAATATTTTCTAAATAAAAGGACTGTAAGCGTAATTTCAAGTGCCCCTCCATGCAAAGATGACAATTTCCGAATTACTAAACGGTTCCCTTGAAACCTTGATTTGATCAAACATGTGAAGGCTAGCGTCGTTTTCTGACTAAGTTAAGAACGAGTTTAACTCTTTCTTTAAATCAATACAAGTCCTATAGTCCTATAGCGTCGGTTTTCTGACTAAGTTAAGAACGAGTTTAACTCTTTCTTTTAATCAATATAAGTCCTATAGTTCGAACTTTATAAAATTAAAAATTTTAGATTATTAAATTTTTTACCTTGGTTTGACTGCATAGCAGGCTACAAGATTAAACCCCTGCATATTAGTGGCTGTTAGTATACTTGGCTGAAACTCAAGTGTAGCTTCATATTCCATTGCTGGGTACACTCTAAATATACATACCATTAAAATATAATCTCTTTCAAAATTACCTATTTTTAACTGTGGTTTTTTAAAAAAGTGACATTATTTATATGATAAGTTTTTAAGTGGTATACTGTTGTTAATCAGGCATACACTTCTTTGAAAGTACACTAAAAGTTTTTTAAAAATAATGTCAACTTGATACGCCATTTTAATAATGACAAAAACAGACCAATTTTTTAAAAATGGGAACCTAAGAAGAACAGCTGTTGCTGATTGAGGTGCTCCAACTAGTAAATCCTTGTAATCATTCTCATCAATATCAACACAAGGAGATACAGACATTCCAAAACTTCGAATATTTTGTCTAAAATAAAATTATAAATTTGACATCAGTGTATCGCATGCATGCATGTATGATTTAATATACACAGGGTGTCCCTGACCCACATCATATTGGATATTCAAATTGCGATTTACGGGACTAATCAGATAATTTGAAAAGAACAAATCATTTAAAAAATTATATATGCATGCAGAAAGTACTAAGTTTTTCAAGTATTATGTGCGTATTTTGGCGTCAAAGCTTGCATGGAGATAATCTAATATAATATGGGACACTCTGTATGTGACACTTTTGTGCGTAACTAAAAATGCATTTGCCAGCTTTTCTGATCAAAAAATCTAAATACATATATAAAACTAAATTTCGAAATAAAACAAACAAAAGTTTATGATACATTATAAAGGGGAACATATTAAATAAGAAATATTCTAAAAATTATGATATTATTATTTTACCTGACGTCCTTTCCATAGATTTTTTGCATCTCTTTTCGATTAATTCCAGTTTGTTTAGACCCCCTGTATTCAAACCAATTTTAAAACAATTTCGGAAATTTTCTCAAAAAATGTAAAAAAAATTTATTTTTGTTTTTGATTCTAAAAATTCTAACATTTTCACTTACAATAAAATTTTCAAATACTAACAACTTTAAAAGGAATTCAGATATCCATTATAAACCCCCCTAGATGGAATCCCTCCAGGCAGTGGAATTATAAACCCCCAGGAAGGAATCCCTCCAGGCAGTGGAATTATAAACCCCCTGGATGGAATCCCTCCAGGTAGTGAAATTATAAACCCCCTGGATGGAATCCCTCCAGGCAGTGGAATTATAAACCCTCCTGGATGGAATCCCTCCAGGCAGTGGAATTATAAACCCCGATGGATCCAGGTAGTGAAATTATAAACCCCCTGGATGGAATCCCTCCAGGCAGTGGATAAACCCCGATGGATGAAATCCCTCCAGGCAGTGGAATTATAAACCCCGATGGATGAAATCCCTCCAGGCAGTGGAATTATAAACCCCCCTGGATGGAATCCCTCCAGGCAGTGGAATTATAACCCCCCCTGGATGGAATCCCTCCAGGTAGTGGAATTATAAACCCCCAGGAAGGAATCCCTCCAGGCAGTGGAATTATAAACCCCCCTGGATGGAATCCCTCCAGGCAGTAAAAGTATAAACCCCCCTGGATGGAATCCCTCCAGACAGTGGAATTATAAACCCCCCTGGATGGAATCCCTCCAGGCAGTGAAATTATAAACCCCCCTGGATGGACTCCCTCCAGGCAGTGGAATTATAAACCCCCCTGGATGGAATCCCTCCAGGCAGTGAAATTATAAACCCCCCTGGATGGAATCCCTCCAGGCAGTGGAATTATAAACCCCCCTGGATGGAATCTCTCCAGGCAGTGGAATTATAAACCCCCCTAGATGGAATCCCTCCAGGCAGTGGAATTATAAACCCCCCTGGATGGAATCCCTCCAGTGCAGTGGAATCATAAATCCATGATGGATATTTGAATTCCTTCAGTAGAATTATAAACCCCCTGGAATCTAGATAAATTTCAGAATCCCTCCTGTGGAAAGTGATTTACATGATGTAGATGTTAACCAAAGGTTTAAAGGGAACAGTAAGTTGTAAATCTAACTTTCACAAAATTAGGCAAACCGTTCCTTTAAACAACCATTAAAATTAATAAATTAATAAATTCTAGTTTCTTTTCAACCAGTAAAAACATCAAAAAATTGTTTATTAAAAACTGGTTTCCTTCTAAAATTGATTATAAAAAATTGATGTGCTTCAAAAAATTTTTTTTAATAAAAACTGGGTTTCTCTTAAAAATTGTTTATTAAAAAACCAGTTTGCTTCTAAAATTGTTTATTAAAAAACCGAGTTCCTTCTAAAATTGTTTATTATTACCTAGTTTACTCCTAAATCTTTTTATTAAAAACCGGGTTTCTCTTGAAATTGATATTAAAAAACCGGTTTGCTCCTAAAAGTGTTTATTAAAACCGAGTTGCTCTTAAAATTGTTAATTCAGAGCCGTTTTTACCCACATTTTTTTTTTATTAAAAAACCGGTTTCCTGAATATAAACACAGCTCCGGATCCAACCCCCTCCCCAGGAGCTCCCACAGCAATATCGTCACATCCATCCCTGCAAAAAAACAAATTTAAGGAGACTGTGGAAAAAAACTAAATTTAAAAGGACTGTTCCATTAACTAAATTCAAAGAGACTGTTTCAAAAACTAAATTTTATGGGACTGTACCAAAACCTAAATCTAAGGCCCTGTGCCAAAAACTAAATTTAAAGAATAAGGAAACTTTGCCAAAACCTAAATTTAAAGGCCTTATGCCAAAACCTAAATTTAATGGGACTTTGCCAAAACCTAAAATTAAAGGCCTTGTGCCAAATCCTAAATTTACAGGCCCTGTGTCAAATCCTAAATTTAAAGAGACTGTGCCAAAATCTGAATTTAATGGGACTGTCCCAAATCCTAAATTTAAAAGGCTTGTGCCAAAACCTAAATTTAAAGGGATGTGCCAAGAACTATTCTCAAACGTACATTTCGATTTTTTGTATCATCAATATTAGAGATATCTCAAATTTTCTTATAAATAAATTTCTATACATTTTATAAAATGACATTTCATAGATGTTTTATGGATAGATCATTTCATGGATAGAAAATTTCATGGATAGATCATTTCATGAATAGATCATTTCATGGATAGATCATTTCATGGATAGATCATTTCATGTATAGATCATTTCATGGATAGATCATTTCATGGATAGATCATTTCATGAATAGATCATTTCATGGATTGATCATTTCATGAATAGATCATTTCATGGATAGATCATTATTATGAAAAATCAACTATATACAAATGTGGCGAAAGATAATCGATGACTATAGGTTGTAATATCTGAATGATTTGTTTGATATTAATTTGATTTTATTACGATCCAAGTCGTATGTTGCATCTTCCTCCATTTGTATGGGCGCTACGCTCTTCGGTATGTCACGTCTTTATCAATTTTCTCCTTATAGACGCAACATATAGAAGTAAGATTAGAAGCGATCAAAAGCGCTTATTTATCGCATTAAGCATATACCCCCTTTCATTTTTCGCGAACACTCCCTTTAAGTATTGCCATGAAGTCGACTTCCTACATCAGAGTTTTATGGTTACTACTTTATAACATTTTTTTTTATTCTAAAAAAAACAAATGAACTAAGTTTGTAAAATTCTAAACATTTGACATTTTAAAATATGAATTCTGTCTAGATATCAAATAATTTAAGTTTGAAAATATCAAAGTGAAACACCATCAGGATGCAAAAATGTGCATTAGACATATCTAGGGTTTATACTGTCAGGATATTAGTTTGTGGCAAAAAATCATTTTCTTAGAAAATTATTTTACGATTTAAAATTTACTTTCTGTGAACTCTAAGGTAAATTAACAGCACAACATAATCGAGGAAAACTTGCCTTAAATTAAAATTTCTAAAATATAACCTCATTAAAGCCTTTTTACATTTTTAATTCAATTTGGTTCAAATCTGTCTTGTTTAAGTAAAACATAGAGTTTCATGATTCAGGAGATTGCAGACGTGAATTTCCCCTGTATATAAAAACTGAAATGTTCAATTCACAACGGTACCCAGTACACTAAAAGCAAAATTATATCTTTTTTATTATTGAAGAAAAAATGAAGGTTTTCTAAATTTATTCGCTTTTATTGTCTCTGCAGCAAAAACATGCCAGGGAGTTTTTACAGAAAACTCAATTGAAAAAATCTATTTTTAGGTAGAAAAATAAGGGTATCTCATTCATTGAATTGATCGGACAAAGGTTTAATAGTTAACTTAGTGAATAATTTTTCTCTCTTTATATAACAAAAACCCATTGAAAAGATTTTCCAACATAGAAATTTTTTTCTGTATTTTTCAATTATTTTCGTACATAAAATTATATTCTGTGAACTATGGAAAACCTGGCAGACCAAGATGCAAAACTCTTACCCGAAGGATTGACTTCTACTCTGAAAGTGAGCTCGTTGTCCTTCTTCAAATATACTGATATCCGACCCTCTTCGTATTTCTTAGAAAATAAATATCTATTCAATGTAATAAGATGCTTCGTACATGCACCCCACTCTAAAAGTTGCTTGATGCGAGCCGGTACAACATGTACTATGTAGTGTATATGCATTCAATCGTACTGTCCAGTCTGGACTACCAATGGTAGAGTCGACCCAGCACGATTTATTCTTCAAATTTAGCAGGACAAGATCACAGTAAGCGAACTTCCGAAATTGAATTCCCTTGGAAAGTTACCTTTGGAATGCTACACTTCTTAAGTTATCCTTGGGAAGAAATTATTGGGAATCACCCTTTAAAAAGCAACTTTTGGGTAACAAGCATTGGGAAGCAACCATTGGCCAGCCACCCTGGAAACTACCCTAGGCTTGCCGTATCCACCCTTAGGATGCAACCTTTTGTGAAGAAACCCTTTGGAAAATTACCCTTGGAAGATTACACCAAAGATACTTACAAGCTCCAAAGGCTGCTTTTAAATATTTTTTTATAAAAAGAAATCAAAATAAAATTGGTAATTTTGTTTTTGTTTTTTAATACCTTCACTAATGGATTTCCGTCTCTTTTTACTCGAACCTAAATGGAAAAAGATGATTTGTAAAAAATCGTAAAAATTTGATGGGGTATTCCGAAGGGGGCCTACAGGGACTAAGCCCCCCCCCCCGGGATCTCGTTGAAATCTATAATTTCAGGTTTTTTTGGGCCCCAACGAATGCTGAGCCCCCCCCGGACAAAATCCTGAATACGCCCAATTGTATTTGATGAATAATGAATATTCCTACATTTTGGTTTGTGAAGAGAGGAGATCCAACAATTAAATCATCTTCTCCGTCCCCGTTAAAGTCTCCAGTAAGAAGAGCGGCACCAAAATATTCTCCAATTTGTTTACCTAAGTTAAACAAGGGACTAAAATCTAGAACATTCGGAAAGTTTTTCATCAAATTCTTAGAAAGCCTCGACTTTAAAGTGTTGCAACGCCATAGTCTTTGGTTTTACCTCACAAACTCACTTTAACTTTTTTGTAGCTCTAGACATATAAATTTAAACAATTATATTTATTATTCCTAGCGTTAGATTAAAAGGAGTAATTGGAAAAACACTGCTTGATTTTTGTGTGAGAGCGTGCACACCTTGGTTTGCAGTGTAGGGTTTCCGGCGGAATTGAAAAGTCGCTGCGCGCAAATTATGTATTTCGCAAAAGAATAAAATTATGCGAAACAAGATTTTTTAGATTATGCATTCTGTTGAAAAGTTCATGATACTGCACGGTCAGCTGATTTTTACTTAAAGACCAGTCAAAATAAAAAATAAAAAATAAAAAAATGCAATTTTCAAAAAAATTTGGAAATCCACCAATGAAAGTTACCAACTAGTTTCTGGTGTACAGTAGTTGAATGCATATTCAGAGCTCCAGGACTCCCTATTGAGACAATCAAAACCTAGTATTTTAAAATTTGTTTTTAGACATTTTTTCTTCTTAAAATATCGTAAAATATATTTACCTGGCCTGTTCGATACGTCCCACCTCTCGGGGCACCAACAACATATTTGAATCCGCCGTTAAAGTTACCTAGTTAGAGAAATTCATCATTTTAAAAACCTTCAAACGGGATTGTTGTTGTTGTTGTTGTTGTTGTTAAGATATTGAATATCTTCTGGTAAAAATTATGAAATTATTTGTTAATTATTGACTGTATGTTTTCTCTAAAGGTAATTTTTACCGAGTAACGAGAAATAAATGGCGGAATTATTTCCATTTCTAGATGTAGGGGATGTAGGGTGTCCCTGCACGAAACATGACAGTTGAGAGACAACTAGAAAGTCGTCTTTGATCTTAATCAAATTTTACATGCTTGATTCTTAAAACAATAATTATAATATTATGATATTCCCCTAGTTCTGGCATTTCCAAAATGTGGTCTGCCCTTCTCTTTGTTTTTGATTACACCATAAATCTTTAATTGCATGCAGACGACATTTTGAAATGCCAAGAATAGCTGTATTTTGTGATTATTAATTCAAAAATTCTGCTTTCAAAGTTTGTTTTTGACGAAATGCCGCAAATTATTTAAAATATTAAAGACGACCTTCAGGTTGATTCACAACTGTAATGTTTGGTGAGCCACTCTGTAGGTAGATAGATACTATAATATCTCTTAATATAACTCAGGATTAAAAGTGTAGGGATACCGTTGTGCCTAAGGTTTCCAGTCGAAAATCGTGCAAAAATTGCGCAAAGATTTGCTTACGTGAGTTAAAATTGCACGAAATTTCGATGTTTTTGCGTTTTGCCCCGTTTTTTATAAAAGGTCACATGATATCAAAATTCCATGAAATATATGAAATTAAGATTAAATATAAATGAAACAGAAAAATTAGAATTGGAAAAATAATTTGGTAAAAACCAAGGAATTAAATGTGCTTGCTTACTCCAACTATAAAGTAAAAAGTTTTTAAAAAAATTTAAAACGTTTATTAAAAACACAAACACTACTATTAGTCTATATTACCTGATTCTAGTGAATATCCAGAGTAATCATATTGTTTAAAATCATTTCTCTTCCAGCTTTCAGGATTTACAACTTTCACTTCCCCTGGCCTGAAATTATAAAATCAGTTGATCTGGAAAATTTTAAATTTAATTGGTCCTTTCACCAAGCGCTATTAAAAAAAGATATTATTAGTTTAACTATCTATCTATCTATATATCTATAGTAATATATGGTATGAGTCATAGTATGAGTCATGGTATGAGTCATGAATTAGGAGCAAATGAGTGTGTATGCATAGAGAATAGAATATATATTAGAGGGGAATTCACTAGAAAAAAGTGTAAAACGGCCATTTTGTTGTACTGTTTCCATACTACAGGTGTACTTCACAATAATGTTTGTGACCTTGTGGTTAAAAATGACCCCGTCCAATCAAATGCTCCTGGTATGCCGTAAACAACCTGTAAATATTAATTTAATTATTAATTCAAATTTTTGATTAAATAATTGAACACTTAGCACAAACTTGAATTGTATGAACATTTGTCTATTGCATTCTTTTCTTTTAAACTTTTAATATTTAAAACTAAGATATATGCTACATCAAAAAGTCTATGTCAAAATTTTTCATCAGAGGCCGAATTCAAAGAATTTGAACCGCGTCACTGAACCTCCAAAAACCGGTCCAATTTAGAGCCGGCTCAAATGTCGTAACACTGAATATTATTTAAAGTGGAACCACTCATTTTTGAACGGCTCTCATATTTTTAACTCTTTAAATTCGGCCTTTGGTTGCTATAATAAAGGGATTTGAAAATTTTAATTTAAGCCAAGTGTTGAATTACGATTTTTAATAATATAACTTATAGTGGTCTGATATTCCTATAGTGAAGTAATAAAAAACAATCCCATTCAGCTATTTTTTTGTAATTGGTTGGAAAAAATTGGGCATTTAATTTGATATTTTCCTCTGAAAAATGAAAAATTAAACTTTATTCATTAAATAACATAAAACCCTACCTCCTCTGTGTCCCTTGGACTATGTATCGAAAATCCAGCACTTCCATACAAAGACATGTACTAAACGTTAGAGTTAAAAAATGATACAGTGAGAACCAAAAAACTTTGTAATAGAGGAAGAAAACATTGTGCTGCAAAGATAGCGACAAGAAAAATGTGTGGTAAAAATTCATTTCATTTGGAACCGCCCGCTTTTGACGTTTATTTGATAGAAACAGACAAAACAACTAACAGACAATAAAAAGTATTACAATGGACTTTTAAAAATATTTTTTAATGTATTTAGAAATAACCATTGAATCAAGACAAATACACAAACAAAAAGCATTCGAGATCCTTCGAGATATAGACAAAATGAACTGAATCTTTGTCACAAACTTAAATTTTCTAATCCGGCCCTTCAGCTTTGAAGATATAGGGATTAGACAATTTTATTTTGTGACAAAGACTCTGTATTTCGTCTGTATTTCGAAGGTTTGAAGGTTCTATAAATAGTTTTATGAAACTATTGTGTACTTTATCATTATTACTCACTTCATCGTGAATTTCATAATGAACGTGCTATAAAGTAATCATCGTGCGATAAAGTTGAATTAGCTGTACATTATAGCTATAAAGGTTTGATTGGTTTCCGGATTTTCTCCGAAAACTTTTGGATATTTTCAAAATATTTTTTTTTTCAATTGAAATGAAAATAAAATTGAAAATAACTTTATATTTTGACTTCTGCTTTCTTTCAAAGCTTATTTGATCTAGAAGTAACCATTGAAATAAGACAAGTACACGGTTCATAAAATTACCTGTAACACTATTTTTTTGGCCCAAAGTACTATAAAGTTTTTAGACTTCAATTTTCTCTATATCTCGAAGGTTCTCGCTAAAGCTGGGGACAAAATTAAATCTAAAAAGTCTTGAAAATTTCTGTCCCAAAACTTTATAACACTGCGAAGCAAAATAACAGTGTTATAAATGGTTAATACCTGTCCTCTTGAACCAAAATAACAGTGTTATAAATGGTTAATACCTGTCCTCTTGAACCATTACCGAATAACTCTCTACACAATAGTTAACTTTAAACTAGATATTAAAGGAAGTGTACACCTAATTTAAAGCAAACCTGTATTTGTAAATTGGCAAGTCCAATACACAATGATGTCATTTAAATCTTTGCCTGCTCAAGGCTTATCCTTTTTTATTACTCTATTTTTCAGTTATGATCATTGATAAGGAACTATCTACGTCATCATTGATAAGGAACTATCTACGTCATCATTGATAAGGAACTATCTACGTCATCATTGATAAGGAACTATCTACGTCATCCTTGATAAGGAACTATCTAAGTCATCATTGATAAGGAACTATCTACGTCATACTTGATAAGGAACTATCTACGTCATCATTGATAAGGAACTATCTCCGTCATCCTTGATAAGGAACTATCTACGTCATCCTTGATAAGAAACTATCTACGTCATACTTGATAAGGAACTATCTACGTCATCATTGATAAGGAACTATCTACTTCATCCTTGATAAGAAACTATCAACGTCATCATTGATAAGGAACTATCAACGTCATCATTGATAAGAAACTATCTACGTCATCATTGATAAGGAACTATCTACGTCATCATTGATCAGATAAGGTGTTAAAGGTAACCATTGTAAATCTTGTATATGTCATTTATTAAATCGAGTATTTCTTGAAATTTTCCCTCCGTCAACCAGTCCCAGACCTTTTTTGTTTTGTTTAGTTTTTACTTTTCAAGATAATATTCCGCATATTTTTAATATTGAAAACCTTTAAAACTTAAAGTTTGTACAGTTTGATTTAGCAAAATTAATAATCTGAAAGACCAATGGTTTACGACATTTCTTCCCGATTGTAATTAAAACAGAGTATATATGCACAGAGGTCAGACTTCTTATGGTGTATAATCCGCAGGGTCTGACCTCAAATAAATTTTATTATTTATTATTTAAAAGAAAACTGTTCCTAATGTCTCCGAGAAGATTAGTCCCTGTATTAAAGGTTTCAGTTTCTATATTCATCTCCCAGCACTCCCCCTGCATCCCCATATATTTACGATCTGAAATCAAGATCAAATTATTAAATAAATAAAACAAATATCCATCTTTTCTTAGTCATATTTACGTTGAAAGGTTAAGTAAGAAAAGGATATGCCCCTGAAATTTGCTTATACATGTTTACAGTGCAGAGGGTTAAGTAGAGGACTGTATGTATAAAATGCCTTATTTTTCACATTAGCTTTATGTGAGGTAAATAGAAGGTAGTAAAAGTAGTAATAATTTAAATTTTAAAAATAAAGATGTGTATTGATTTGTATATAAATGGTAGAACTCAGGGTACTGGGGNATTTATTTTTCAATTCCCCACTACCCTAACTACCACCGACAAGTTGAAACTTTTTTTTCAACATTTATTCAATAATTTATTTTTCAATTCCCCACTACCCTCACTACCACCGACAAGTTGAAACTTTTTTATCAACATTTATTCAAGAATTTTATTTAAATTAAAAACTATCCTCACTTCCACTGATTTTTCAAAATCTTAATTTAAACATTTATTATTTTTTTTCATTTTCAAACTACAGTCACTTCCAAGACAAAAACTTAAGCAAGTCTTAAAGAAAAAAAAGAGGCAATTTAAAGATTTTTAAAGTTGAATTTCTTGCTAAATATATTTTTTTTTATCATGATTTTACAAAAAAATCTTATAGTTTTATAAGAAAAGTATCTGCTTACTACCATACATACCTATGTTAATAAAAAATTCACCTATTTTTCAGCAAAAAAAGGAATTTTATACGTTCACAGTAGAGGAGACCCCCCTCCCTTCAAGGAATAGAAAAATTGACAAGGATAAACAAATCTATTCATTTCAACAAAATTTTCGAAGCAAGGCTCTATCAAATATAAATCGTTTAACAAAAAAATTTATAGTTTAAAAAAATTCCTTAATATTCCTACTTTTTGTGCTTGTAAATGATTCTTGTCTTCTAGGTGCGCACGAAAAAACTGAATCTGTGTTTACAGCAACGGCTGAACCAAACATTTGCCGAGCTGAAATATCTCCAGATTTACCCGATCTGATAAAAAGGAATTTATATATTCAGCAAAACATTTCTCTTTTAAGGGTTTATAATTCTAATTTATCTCTCCTAATGATCGCTTTAAAGTTTAAAGAGACTGTTTGTATGTATACGTAATTTTAAGCGAACGTTTGATTAATAAAGTTTAATGTTTGAGTCGCAATGATACCCTTTAAACCTTTGTCTTATCCTTATTTTTCTACCTTAAAATCGCTTATTTTCAAAAGTAGTTTCTCTACAAAATTGATTTGCTGATTTATGCTGCGGAAAAAGGATTAAGGGAAATAACAGAATTTAAAGATCGTATAAAATTAATCTGTTCCACATTTTTACTCAGCCAGATATTTAAAAGGTACCATTGTAAATCAGACATACTACTGTTTTAAAGGAGGACTGTTATCCGTAATGATATTTTTACAATATTGAAGAATTATAAAAATAAACTTACAAATTCGGAACGAATTTTCTGGAACAACTTGCTCCAGAATTGGTGAGGTCTAAAGAACATGAAAACATTGCTCCATTATCACCTCCATTCTCAGAGGAGAATGGCGCCCCTACGTATGCTCTGCTGTAATCTCCAATCTAAATTAATAAAATTGTTCATGATATCAGCAAAGAAGTCAAGAGTCAACATCAACAACAACAACAACAACAACAACAACAACATTAACAACAACAACTACAACAACAACAACAACAACAACAAATATTGTCAGATATAAAAACAAAAAAACCAACAAACAACAACAACAGCAACTACAAAAACAACAACAAAAACAACAAACAACAACAAAATTAACAACAACAACTACAACAACAACAACATCAACAAAAACAACAAAAACAAAAACAACAGATATTGTCAGATATTTCCTAAAAAAAAACATTTTTGATATTTAATATGTTTTAGGGAGTTATCTGTAGGCTGTAATTTTAAATTTCAATTTCAATAAATAATTAATCTTTTGAAATAAGATTAAAATGGAAAAGAATTTATTAATTTTATTTTCAAATGCCGTTTTCATACAAATCAAAAAAGGTTAAATAATTCTAATTTATTCTTCGTGTAATTTTTTATTTAAATATTTAAAAATGTTTACCTTGGGTTTGTGGAGTTGAGAACTGTACCCAAAATAAGAATTTTCTTCATCTGATCCAACAAATATGGGGAACTTTACATCTAGAAATAATTAACATTACATCTAGAAATAATTAACTTTACATCTAGAAATAATTAATATTACATCTAAAAATAATTAACATTATGTAAAGGTTGGAAACTAGATCTACTCAAGAGAGAGAACACTGGATGTCTGAATATATATTTGCGTACAATGTGTATAGTAAAGTACAAAGAGGGAGTTGACAGGAACTGGTCAACTTCCACGTAAACATAAACAGGGATAAATATGATAAATATATATGAATAAACTGGTCCTCCACAATTACATCTAGAAATAAAATTACATCTAGAAATAATTAATATTACATCTAGGAATAATTAACATAACAACTAGAAATAATTAACATTACATCTAGAAATAACATTACATATTGAAATAATTAACATTACAACTAGAAATAATTAACATTACATCTAGAAGTAATTAACAGTACATCTAGAAATAATTAACATTACATCTAGAAATAATTACTTTACATCTAGGAAAAATTAACATAACATCTAGAAATAATTAACATTACATCTAGAAATAATTAATATTACATCTAGAAATAATTGATATTACATCTAGAAAAAATTAACATTACATTTAGAAATAACATTACATCTAGAAATAGTTAATATTGCATCTAAGAATGATTAACATAGCAACTAGAAATAATTAACATTACATCTAGAAATGATTAACATTACATCTTGAAATAATTAACATTACAACTAGAAATAATTAACTTTACATCTAGAAACAATTACTTTACATTTAGAAATAATTAACATTACATCTAGAAATAATTAACTTTACATCTATAAATAATTAACATTACATCTAGAATAAACTAACAGTCCATCTAGAAATAATTAACATTACATCAAGAAATAATTGCATTACACCTAGAAATAAATAACATTACATCTAGAAATAATTAACATTACATCCAGAAATAATTGCTTTACATCTAGAAATAACATTAAATCTAGAAATAATTAGTATTACATTTAGGAATAATTATTATTACATCTATAGATAATTAACATTACATCTATAAATAATTAACATTACATCTAGAAGTAATTAACAGTACATCTAGAAATAATTAACATTACATCTAGAAATAATTGCATTACACCTAGAAATAATTAACATTACACCTAGAAATAATTAACATTACATCCAGAAATAATTGCTTCACATCTAGAAATAACATTAAATCTAGAAATAATTAGTATTACATTTAGGAATAATTAGTATTACATCTATAGATAATTAACATTACATCTAAAAATAATTAACATTACACCTAGAAATAATTAACATTACATCCAGAAATAATTGCTTTACATCTAGAAATAACATTAAATCTAGAAATAATTAGTATTACATTTAGGAATAATTAGTATTACATCTATAGATAATTAACATTACATCTAGAAATAATTAACATTACATTTAGACATAATTAACTTTACATTTAGACATAATTAACTTTACATTTAGACATAATTAACTATACATCTAGAAATCAATATGTACTTATAAAAATAAAACTGTAAATTTAAATATGAACTACATAAAACTTAAAAAAAATAAAACTGTACATCTTGAAATAAAACCGTACATATAAAACAAAACTTTAGAAAAAAATCTTAAAATAACATTATAAAGCTAGGAGAAACTTCATTTAACGCAAAACTTACAGTTTTAAGAAAGATTGATTTGGGTTTTTTGTGAATTTTTAAAACATTAGTGAATTTGAGACTTGATATGAAACATTGTTTGGGGATGAGTTGCCATTAAATACACAATATAAAACGAATAAACTGAAAACTATTTAAATACACTATATAACAATTATAACATGTATAAACTGAAAACTATTTAAATACACAATATAACATGAATAAACTGAAAACTATTTAAATACACGATAAAACATGAATAAACTGAAAACTATTTAAATACACAATATAATATGAATAAACTGAAATATTTAAATACACAATATAACATGAATGAACTGAAAACTATTTAAATTCACAATATAATATGAATAAACTGAAAACTATTTAAATACACAGTACATCATGAATAAACTGAAAACTATTTAAATACACAGTACATCATGAATAAAAACTATTTAAATACACAGTACATCATGAATAAACTGAAAACTATTTAAATACACAATACATCATGAATAAACTGAAAACTATTTAAATACACAATATATCATGAATAAACTGAAAACTATTTAAATACACAATATAACATGAATAAACTGAAAATTATTTAAAACAAAATACTTTATTTTGATGATATATTATTTGAAATAAAAAAATATATTATTTACCAAAAAATACCCACCTATGTTAAATGCTTGTAAACGTCCGATTAATATGAACAGAAGACTTCTCATTTCTCTGAAATTGTAAAAATAAAATTGTCAAGGTTTCGGGAAATTTGTATCTAATTTGTAAACTACATACAGAGTGTCCCACGAAGCATGACAGTTGGTGAACAGTTTTGAATGCCTGCTTCCATATACTGTGTATTATATATTAAAGACTATTCGCAGTTTATCTAGTCAAAAAATTCTTTTACTCAAATAGTTTTGCTTTAAAATAAAATTTTCTTTATTATCAATGCCATATAATATTTTTTATTATTCTCTTTGGTATCAAACAATTTAACAAATTATGGAAGAAGACATTTAAATCTATTCACCAACTGTTATGTTTCGTGGGACACCCTGTAGCTCCGGTTCATTTACTCAGATATGGCAAAGTAGACAAATTGTCTATATCAGGAAAACGGGACAGTACGCCAAATATTGCAAGCTCTAGAGTACACATATTGTCTATATCAGGAAAACGGGACAGTACGCCAAATATTGCAAGCTCTAGAGTACACATATTGTCTATATCAGGAAAACGGGACAGTACACCAAATGAATGATTCCCTTCTTGTGACATTTATGTTAAACAGGGTTACCATCACAAGATGAAGCTTTATTTACCGACCTAAAAACTATTTTAATATCACGATCTTAAAGTTGAATTGAGGTTATTCTACTTTAAGAGTCATTCTATATAATTGAATAAGACATTCGCATATATGTTCCCTATGGCCAGCCAAACAGCTGGACTGAATGGGCTGACATTTTTTGAGGGAACCCATGGTTGCCCCAGGAGTATTATATGCTAAAGAAATTCTAAAAAAAAGTTTTCTTTAAAAATTCTAAATTTTTTTAAAGACATTTTTTTTCTTCAAATTTATTTTTCAAAATTCAATTTTAAAAAATTCCACGAGCTCTTCAGCTAGTATTAACTAATTTGAGTACAGGAAGAATCGAGTTTCTGATAACCCTTTTCTCTTGAAGATGCAACGAATGAGATTGAGATTATCTTGTATTTATTTTCAAAACAGAATAACGACAATATCTTCTTTATTTCTATTCCAACTCAAAGGGAGAGACCGGCTACACATGGTAGTTGAGCTAAAAGTGCAGTGTTGTGGAGAAAAACTTTAGAACTTATTTGATACCAAAGCATATGAAACATTTTTACGGTGTACAATTTTCAAATAAGAATTTAAGGTCGGTTGTAATATTTCACAAGTTTTTAATATTTTTAAGACAGAAAAAACAATATCTGTGTAATTGAAAACTTAACTAAAGTGTGACGTTTTCGAGTAGACAATTAACAATGATTGGTTTTTTGTAAGTTGTAACGACATTCTGCGCTTCGAGGTCGAAAACATGAGGTTTTGAGATCGAAAACATTAGGTTCCGAGGTCGAAAACCTGCGGTTCTGAGGTCGAAAACCTGAGGTTTTGAGGTCGAAAAAATTATTCACTATTCTTTGTTTATGTGATAAAATTATGTTATCTCTCAAATAATTCCTTATCTTGCTATAGTGTAATATAAATAGTAAGCTTACATTCATATTCTCATTTTATGAAGATATTTCTGCTTTCATAGCAGAACTGCAATTACTCCATTAACTATCCCTGGCCGGTATAATTTGTAAAATGTGCGTGTGCCCGCGGTCAGTCGGGTTAATTCTTAACTACAGGGTTACCCAGAAAGGATGAGACTTCAGAGACGATTGTACGGAAATTGCTTAGTCCGTTTTATTGCATTGAGGGTTCCTTGTAGGCTAAAACTGGTTTATTTATGTGCTTTAGTAAACCACCAAAATACTCAATTGAATGCAGAACCCAAAAATCATGTTTCAAATCGTCACATTTTTAGAGTTATGGGTCGTCTTAACAGTCTCATCCTTTGTGGGTAACCCTGTATCATAATCCTGCATTTACTTCTAAAATGCTTCTTAAAGTCAGACCTTTGTCTCACCAATTCAGGGGTTAAGTTTTACAACTTTTAAAGAAATAATCTAATTTTTAACAGATGCCTGCTGATTGGTCGTGTACAGTACACGTTAAACTCTCTTATCTCTGGTGTAAACCACAGCATATTCACAATGTTGCGCAGTATTAGACAAACTGCATAGAATTTTTACAATGTATTTGTATAAGATAAGGTGAGTGTTTGTTAACGTTGAATCATATAAATAATAGCAGACTTTTAGGGTGCTTCGGGCCCCTTTACTACAATTTTAGCTTTTAACATGTTGATCTGAAATTCGATATTTATATTAATCGTTCTAAAATTTCTGCTGATTTGAATTGGTGCATTTTCATTAACAATACATTAATGTCGACATTTTTTCATCTTTTACTTTCCATAATTAAACCTTCCCCTAGCCTCCTAGGGTCATGTGAGTTCGATTCGAATTTTTTTTTGGATACAAACGATACAGAAAGAGCCCAACTTTGGTAGAGATACTTTATCCAATTATTTTACTATATTTTCTTTAGTCATGCTGGGTCATAAATATTTTTGCTATATACAAGTGTTTTCAAAACAGTTTTTAATTTTACTTCGTCGTCGTTGGATTACCATTTTTACTGCTAAACCAACCTCAAAATAAAGTATTGATTTAATTATTATAAGATAAGATTCGAAAAAGCTAAGATTAGAATAACCTATAAAGAAAGCTCTACAGAACAGGGAGGTTTATATTGCTGTGGAATAGGAAGACGACATTTACGTAATCTTTCATGCAAATCACAACATTCTTTACAAAGGAGAAATAAATTAATTTTTTAATATTTTATTCTGTATAATAATATTTAAATATTTTTTACATAGATAAACATTGTTTTTAATCTGGAAGAAAACTAAAACAATCACAAATAAATATATAAGTAATTGATAAATAGAATAAATAGAATAGATAGAATAAATAGAATTGATAAATAAATGAATCGTTTCAATATACACAGTACACACTCAGTCTTAGCCACTTAAAGGCTTACGTCACAAAGTATATTCTAATGCCTCAAGGGTTTGTAAGATTAATTTCAAGTAACCTTTCATTTCAAAACTGTTATTTTCTACAACACAACAGTTCCCTTGAAAACTTTGTCTGATCAAGTATGAATTAGATATTGAGGTTCTTGATTATGAAAACTGAGCTGGGAACTTTAGAATGGATAACCTTTAATCCCAACTACTTTATCCAAATATCCACTATGGAAACTTTTAATTTTAGTCCTTAATCCACTCTTTTTCTCTCTCTTTGGATATACGTACATTGTTTTCTCCAAAAAGAGTGCAGGACTATAGTTCATAAATTGTACTGACCAATGACAGCCCTTGAAAATAAATCCTATTCCATGAGAGAAATCCGCAATTGCTAACAAATTAAGAATCTGTTGTCGGCCATTTTGTAAATTAATCGTTGAAGAAAAATATTAAATAATACGTTTAAGATTCTTTTTTAACTAATTTTACTAATGTATTAATAAAGAAATGGGTGAGAAATTAAGTGAAGGCCTTTCCAGTCAAGTACTTGTTTATCAAAATACTTAATCTTGAGACTAACATAATCTCAAGATTATTTTAGTCTCGAGATTAGAAAAAGAGAGGATTAAGCATTAATCCTGATATCCACCATTCTCAAGTTCCCAGCTCCGAGATTATTTCTACAAAAGTGACTTGTACAATTATAAAGTAAGAAATAATGGCGAAATTATTGGATATAACTAGTTTTCAAGTGACTGATCGGACAAAAATGTCCCGGGTACAATGGTGTGAATACGACATAATAGTTAAATTGAAAAAACTTTCTTTTACATTTGATAAATTTTCTATGCTAATATACATTTTGAATTTAAACAGATAATCTTTGATAATAATAATACTCAAAATAAAAGAAATTAACCAAAAACTTGAATCAAAGAATTCCCAAAAAATTAGGTTGAATCTCTGAAAAAGTAGATTTTCTCTCACTTTCCACAAATGTTTAATCTATCATAGTGTTTTCTACTTCTTTTCTTAATTCTCCAAATGGGACAACAGCTCTGAAAACATAAAAAAATTGAAGTAAAATATATTTTTCTAAATAACTAATAAAAGCATTTGAAATATTACAATGAACCACTGCAAAAAACATAATTTTCATTCTTTTTTAACCCTATTCCCGCTGGGGGGGGGGGGTCAATTTGACCCCCCCCCTGTAGTTTTTTTTGCATAACTCAAAAAGTATTGGTCTGAGGCTGTTGAAATTTTCTGACTTTTCTTACATACCCAAAGCCCTCCCTTTAGGCCTAAAACCGGGCTTTAATACTAACTGCCTGAGTCCTCAGGCACACTGCCTGAATGACTGCTTTTGCCTGTAGCAAACTAAATCTTTGTTTTGACCCACTTTCACTTGTCAGATTTTGATAAACTTTAGCTTTTTGGAAAGCCTATGACATAAGGAAACGGATTGCACAAGTTTTGCGAAAAAAAATGCAAATTTTTTGCAAAAACCTATCAAAGGAAATTTGCACATTTTTAGTTTTTCTTGATTAAAATCAGGTTATTTAAAATTTTGCAAAAATTTTTGCATATTTGAAATGGCATGGTCAAGGGCTTTTCAAAAATGTATAATTTGTCATTTTTTGGACAAATTTTTATTTGCAAACATTTTTACTATAAAACTGGATTTTGCGATAAAAAATTCAATTTTCGCAAATTTGCAAATTTTTTTGCAGATTCTTAAAGTAGAGCACAAGAGCTTTCTAATGATGTATCATTTGTCATATTTGGACATAAAACATGGGATTTAGAGGGGGGGGGGTCAAATTGACCCCCCCCCCAGCGTATCCTGGTTTTCAAGTACCCCAGCGGGGATAGGGTTAAGTTTGCTTGATAAAACATTCTTAGGACAAAAAAGTAAATGTATTTTTAGATTTAGTGCAGAATTTATTGCGTTTGATTTAATCATAAATCATTATAAATTTTGTTAAACTTACTAATTTTTGTACAAAGAAATTGAGTCTTTGCCACAAATTCTGATTTTCTAATCTTTATCTTTGCAACCCAATGTCGTAGATCTTAGATATTTCAAACTAAAAGTTTTGTCCGATCAAATGATCAATGTTTGAAATATCAATTTTACATGATCAGTACTAGGAACTTGAGAATGGTGGATATCAGGATTAATGCTTAATCCTCTCTTTTTGCTAATCTCGAGACTAATATAATCTCGAGATTATGTTAGTCTCGAGATTAATTATTAAGATAAAAAAATTTGACTCTAGGAACTCCAGATTTGTTCTTTTTCGTGACTGGAAGGGCCTTCACTTAATTTCTCACACATTTATTTATTAATTCATTAGTTAAAATTGGTTTAAAAAAAAAATGTCAAACGTATTAGGACATATTTTTCTTCACCAATTAATTTACAAAATGGCCGACAGCAAAATCTTTATTTGTTAGAAATTGCGGAGGTCTCTCATTGCCGATAGAATATATTTTAAAGGCTGTCATTTGTCAATACAATTTACGAATTATATTCCTGCACTCTCATTGGAGAAAACAATGTAGGGATATCCAAAGAGAGAGAAAAATAGTGGATAACCGACTAAAATTAAAAGTTTCCACAGTAGATATTCGGATTAAGAAGTCATGATTAAAAGTTATCCATTCTAAAGTTCCCAGCTCAGGTTGCAAAGATAAAGAGCAAAGCTAATTTCAGTTTGTGGCAATGGCTTAATCCTTTCGGTTTTATTTATAATTTTCCGCTTGTTCTCAAACACGATATACTGAGGAGAGTGTGAAAACTGTATGTCCTGTGCTTTGTGGTTCTCAAACACAATAGGAAAGCGTGAAAACTGTATGTCCTGTGCTTTGTGGTTCTCAAACACAATGTACTGAGGAAAGCGTGAAAACTGTATGTCCTGTGCTTTGTGGTTCTCAAACACAATGTACTGAGGAAAGCGTGAAAACTGTATGGTCCTGTGCCTTGTGGTTCTCGTTATTTTGCCAAAAAGTGCGGGAAAAGTTGCAATAAATTTATTATCTTTGTGCGTGTGAAAATTATTAAAATACTTTAGGGCATAATGTTTTCCAATGGTAAGCTTTAATGTACGTTCAAAATGAATCATGTTTAGGGATTAGGGGTAAAATGCGAAATTTCATGATTTTTTGCGAAATGTTATTTTTCAAAACAAAATACAATTAACAATTAAAGGTTAACAACTTCGCAATTTTTCTTCGAACGGTATACGAAAATGCAAAATTTTCGTGAACTGATTTTCCGTTTACGCTGGAAACCCTTTTCGGGGCTTGTATCGGTCAATGTGAAGTCCAGCATGACAGCTTCTTTTCTAACTGTTTATATGGATTGTACAATGTGCATGCATGAAAAAATAATAATTATTTAAAACACTGTTATTTTGGTTCGCAGTGTTATCCAGTTTTTGGGACAGAAATTTTCTCTTTATCAAGAAGGTTCAAACCTTTTTAAATTTAATTTTGTTCCGAGCTTTAGTGAGGGACAACATATGATCTAAAAAGGCGAGAACCTTCGAGATATAGTAGGTAATAATGATAAAGTACACACTAGTTTCATAAAAATTAGTTATAGAACCTTACAAAATACAGACAAAGTCTTTGTCACAAAATAAAATAAAACGTTTTTGGAGAAAATCCGGGAACCAATCAAAACATTATAGTGTAACAGTGGGCGAGTTTTGTTGATCTTTTACGATCAGCAATTCAAGGATTTTTTGGATCGCTGAGATCATAGCTACCAAGGGGAATCATGCCCCCTTTCCCCCCCCCCCATCTTTAACCCTACGGTTGGACTTTAGAGTCCTATTTTGAATCCTAACGGATTTATTTGAGTTTGCATTTGGATTCTATAAATAACCCAAGCGACGCCGAATTTTCCGTTATCTTGAAGACCCAAGCGTTGGGGAGGGGGCGGAACAACCCCGGGGTAGCTAGGGTTAAATGCGATCCTAGGATGGAGCAAAATCGAAGGAGGAGAGTTAGTTGA